ATGGCATCGTGATGCGCCGACAACTTAAACAAGGGGGCGGGGCAGCAGCTGCTAAGGCAGACTTCTGAGACCTCTTTCAAACAAGGTGACTGCATCTCTCTGTTTTCTGTGGTATTTTTGTGGTTTTGGTTCAATCATGAAGCAATGGTTTATATTTATAACGACTGTTCTTCTTGTTAGAAACACTAAAATGCAGAAGTTTTACTTTGTCTTACATGTATGTTTTGGGCCGGGTTGGTTTATGGACATGGTATGATTAGTTTGAACAGGTCAGATCAGTCTAAAATACAATGCTTAACAAGATGGCTTAGTTGACATTTTCTATCATTAATTGCATGCTTAACCACGCATTAAGCAGCAGCATGGTTTACATTGCAAACTTGTCATGGGGGGTCAATTGTTCTGGACCAGTCACTCAGTCAACAAGGTGTGAATTGAAGCACTAATTCCAGAGAGTCTGGGAGGGAAAGGTCATGATGAACATGTGCATGCGGAGCATGGACACTGGTAAGTAATTATGTAAAATGGATTGATTATAAGGAGCTTTCCAATTTAAATTAGAATTATGCAGTGTTTGTTTAACTTTAATGTGAAAACCAGAAGCACTAAAATTCTAATTGGTGTATGTCTTTTGTGAAAAGCAGAGGGTGGAAGAGAAAGCAACAGGCAAAAGTAGACGACAAAAAGGGCTTTTTGCATTGTGGCCGGCATTATTGGTGCTTGCCAACTTGCTTCGGGCTTAAGTTTGAAGTTTTCTTTAAAGCTCCATTGATTGTGCCGCTATCGAAATTATGCATGCCAATTGTACTAGCCAGTTTTATCTTTTATTTTATTTTATTAAATATACCAACTGTCTTTGCCTTCTTATTATTGTGTAAATCTGAGGCCAGAAATACATTAGCTCTCCAGTATAATTTAGGCTAAATTTTGAATATAACAGCTTATTATGTGTAGGATTTTATTTTTTTAGGATTTTTTTAATGGAGAGAGGCGATAATACCTAAACTTACACACAACACACGAATGCTAAAACTCGAATCTATAACCTTATATGAAAGAACAATTACTCCAAACTACTATACTAATAGGTCATTTGCATATGCAGGGTTTTAATGTCCAAGCAACACCAATAACTTAATACAGTGTGACGAAAATGATGTAAATGTAACTTAGAACATTCGATAAAACAAAATTTTGACATTGGGTTAATAATATCGGTGTCGGCAATCAGCATCATTGTCTCAAGATCTCAACCAAACAAGGGTTTAATCTTTATCTACAATTTCTAACGAGAGGTCCAGATTGAATGGAAACATAAAGAATAATTATAAAACATAATTTTCGAGCCAAAATGATTAGAGGCACGATGACAGTGAACATTACTTGAACACTCTAATGTTACAACTTACATCCGCAAGTCGTTCTAGAAGAAACGACATCTACAGCTAACTTCTTCTCTCTTTTTTTCTTTCTTTTTTATAGAAACTTATTTAAAATTTAGAATATTTAAGATAAACTGCTGAATAATTGTTGGGTTTTTAAATTTAAATCATGTGCCAAAAAAACGTGGAGCGTAGGAGCCATTCTTTACATAGTGAGGGAGAAAAGCTCAAACTGGAAAAAGAGAAAGCCAGCAGTTGGAGTGTCCTTGATGTTTTGGAATGAGGAAAAAAGCAAAAGAGAAAAAGATAAAGATAAAGAAACAAGGATTGAACCCAAAAGAAAATTTGTCATATAATTGACTTTGGGCTCTCCAAGTTCAAAGATCACAATTTGAAAGCAGGAAATATGTGCTTGGAGTTTGAGGATTAAGAGAAGCATTGAATTGATCAACTAATTAAATCACCCTTCGAGAAATTGTTGAGTGATACAGTATTACTGCATCAGCCGGTGATATTTTCACCTAAAATTTGTTACGTACATAAAATTTTGACAATTATCTCAAACGTCGATATGTTTTAGTACAAAGAAAAATTGTCATGAATTCTTTGGTAATTTCCAGTTGAAACTGCCTCAACTTGAAACGTCTCCTATGATAAACTAGCACCGATTTACCCCTTCTGATGTTCCAAATGATATGTATGGCAAGTACAAAATTTATGAATTTGATGGCAGCAGCAACATGTGTGGTGGTACTAGTCTTCAACTTGTGGAAAGAGGCAACTTATTATTATTGGGGGGGCATTGTCTCACATCACATTCAAACTAATTATAATAGGCTTGTAATTTTCAGGGCTGCCTCGTGATTTATGGAGACAGGGACAAGTAGTCTACCAAATAAGAAGAGTGTGAATCACCTAAAATAAATAAAAATGGACGAATGTGATTGCGTGTGAAATTAATTGCAAAGCAAACGACGCGAATGAAATGTATGGCTGCTTTGCTTACCATTGGGTTGGGCCACAAGGCATATAAGTATAGTCTAATATTTCATTGCTTCTATGCATATAAAATTAAACAACATTTATATATAAAAATATTATGTATAATATATAAAGAAAATCTTAGTTCAAAGTTTCAAACTGATGAAGAATATAAACCTTAATTATGGTTTACCAGTCAATATTCACAATTTCTTAAATAAATGAAATAACGTTCACGAATCACGCTGTTGGAATTATATCAGCCTGTATGTATCAGGTTCAGGCTGCGGTTGAGATGTGGTTGTCTCTTTGACTAGACTCTCCATCTAATTCTAATTTCTAACACGAGTTTGGGTTCTTGATACCTCTGCCTGCCTTCAAATTAAAATTCATTCATGAATCTTTGCAATCCAAGCCCATTTGTAAGTCAAAGTTTTATAGTGAAAAGAAAACCCACTTGAAATTTATAGACTTGGGATGTTATGAAAACCCATCATCTTTTAGTCCTTTGATCTTGGCAAGGTCAAGGCCCATAAAACAACCCCATATGTGGTTTTAAAAGGACCCTATCAATGAAAGGGGATTTGGTTGAATGAGGGCTTCAATCCAATCATTCAATTACTAAACAAAGTTCTGAGTTCAATATTTTCTCCTTCTTATTGGATAATGGGATTGAACCCTTTGCACAACTCCTTATTATTGTATTTCTGATGAATAAATGAAGAAGGAAAAAGATTTTCAAAGATGGGCCGTAAAGTCTTGGAGAAGAACATTTCGAGAAACAAGAGCCCTAAAAACACTTTTCAGACCAGGAATGGGGGATATCTTCCTATGATCACAATTATGCGGAAAGGCTATAATGAGGGCTTAAAGTGAGGAGGTTATTTGAGGAGGTCAAATCTCACCATCAACAAATGTAAAGAAATCATGGGACTTAAATATTTTAAATGTTTTGATGGTCGGATCGGTCTCCTCACTTTAACTCCTCGTTGTAGACGCTGTGTATCCCAAACCAAATTGTATTTTGCTTCTTTGCTTTATCCAAAAAGAAGTCCATTACTTTGAAAAAGTGGCTTCATGGATCGGCTAGACTTCCCTTCGGTGTCAAAAATAGCTGTAGAAAAGAAACTTACTGGTCTTTTATACAGAATTGTTTTATTTTGATATGCACTGTATAAGCACATAGCAAGAACATCCTCTAAGACAAAGTTATAAATGGCCACAAATGACAAAAGGGAGCAGGGACATTAGTAATTGCTTGTACATACGGCTTCCACCTTCCATTCCACCTATATAAATCACCCTATTTCCCAGCATTATGCAAACTCACTTTGCCTGCTTGCTTAGTCACAAAGTAGAACAACTTTGTATAACAAAAATAACTTCAGTATTATAGCTCTACCTCTACCATTATTTTCAAATATGACAAAACCTACGTATATCCTTGGCTAGCCTAGCCTAATATTATACCTTGTCGTATATGTTTTGCATGACAGGGCTCTACTGCATGATCAGATAGGCTGCAAATTTCATTAAGCCAAAGCAATCGTAGGGCAACTCTTCTTTGGCAGGTCAATGAAAGTGATTGTACATTTGTAGCTGCCTCAGTCACCAGTGCCTGCCAAGAAAGAGGAGCCCTATGACTGCTTTGCTTATTTGACAAGTATACTTCTTCTAGTATGTATACCTGCTTCTGCTTGTGTTTCAATGATGGCCCGGCACAAGTTATATAAGGGCTCAAAGACTCCAAGAGATGGAATAAACCAGTAAGCACAAATGGCATATCCTGAGGATTATGCTGTGAACATCCATCAGGGGCTGCTTTTCAGGGATTTTGTTGGGGCCAGGGCTCATTCTGCTGCTAGATTTTTCTCCTCCTTATCCGAGCCTTGAAAGCGCTCTTTCCTAGCATATGAGATTCTTCCACTCTCTGTGTCCATGTAAATGTGCAATGAAGTTGAAAGCAGGAAAAAAAGTAGATGGAAGGAGATGCCTCCCCATATTATTATAAGGGGCTGAGAAAGAAGGGCTAACAGCATATCCTAATCTTATTCGTCTTCTTTTCTTTTTTGCCTACGTCTGTATATTAGTAGTTTCTGTCTTGAATACAAAAGAGTCTCACTTTTATAGTGAGCCATCATTATAGGATCACCAAATTAGTTTTGACTTTAGTTAATCTGCTGCAGTTTCAATCCTTCTCTGGGTATCTCTTTCTAACCATGCCATGATTGTGCGCAATGCCTCATTCGTTTATTTGGTAATCATTTTTCAAATATTTCTTTATCGAACGGTGTACCCAAAAAAAATCATCACAAGTAAGAAAATAAAATAAAGCCTATAGCTGAAGGACTTCATGAAGTTAGAGCAGCCCATGTGATAAAAAGTTCTAAAAGTGCTTGCAGTTGTGTTGTGTCATCCTCACCTCCTTACTAATTTCCTTCCTAATTACGCTCTTAACAAATAAACAAAAACTAACTAATCATTTTTTAAAACTAATTCAGTTTTAATAGTAAGGCATATATTTAATCACAGGAAGGCTAATCTAGTCAAGCAGAGTGCAGACAGTTTTGCTTGAACCATACCTGATCTGATCAATTGACATCAACTATATAGATTTCAAAATTTTAGGTTCCAATATCTACAATATTAATCAAATGTCTAAGAGACATATATTCCAATAATCACTAATTGACTTTATGTTTGGGAAACATAAGTGACGAGATCAATTTTTCTTTTTTGATCCGTGGACTATTCTGTCATGCAGAATCCTTTGCCCCATGTACCTGCACCACATGCACAACAAACAAAACCAAAATGAAGGTTTAATCAGCAATTAGTATAAGATTTTCGAGAAAACTATGTATATATGATGTGTTTTCCAAGCATACTTGCCTTCCAAGCATCATGACAGTAGCTTGGGGATTAGCACCCGGGGTGTGATAAAACGTTGAACCATCAATAACCCTCAGAGAATCAATACCAAGAACTCTATATCCTTTATCAACAACCCTCCCAACTTGACACCCTCCATGATAGTGCCATATGGTCATCACAGTGTCTATGCAAAATTGTTCCAGCGAAAACGTGGCATTCGCGTGCTTTCGCCTCCTGTTCACCGGCAGAGTCAACATCAGGTCAATGAGAGCTTCCACTGGCATGTTTTTATAACGGAACTTTGAGTAGGCTTTTGAGTTCACAACATCTATAATGGTCCTCATGCCCTCAATGCACTTCCTTAGGTCCTCTGGTTCTTTGAAGTAGTTAAATGTGACAAAGGGATTGTCATCAGGGTTTGTGTTCCTCAAAGCAAGATGACCTGTGGAGAGTGGACCCATGATTTTTTCAAGTATGACTCCGGCTCTGATTGTTCTGTTCGCAATTCCATGTACCATCTCAGCAGCTCTGGCTATGGCTTCTGGTAAAACTCTGAAAGGCGGGTGCTCAGTCTGCAAATGTAAAAATCAAACCCTTATTGATTAATTAGTTCCCTTTTTGCATATCTGTGCACATAAAATAACCCACATGGTTAATTAGGTTTAGGATCATGAAATTCATATGTGACCGACCACATAGTTAACAACTAATACATGTGTGATGTGCCAAAAATGCATATGGTGGCAGAGAATGAGAGAAGTAAGAAATAGGAACCTGGCTCAAGAAGCGCTTGAAGTTATTGGAAAGCCTATGAGCCAAAGAAGTAGAAAGGCTCAGTCCGCTAGCTCCTTCAATGTAGCTATTGAACTTTGTGATGCCCACAACTTGAACCAGGGAGACCTCAACTGGGGTTGGTGAGGGAATAAGCAGAACATTCATCGGATTATCAGCCATCCCCTGGCCCACCATGGGGTGATCCACCACCACCTTGATACCGTGGGCCCGGAGATGGTAAGCGGGCCCCACACCACTTAGCATCAACAGCTGTGGGCTCCCAATAGCACCAGCTGATAAGATTATCTCATTCTTATTGGAGTTCCTCTTTAGGTATGCTTGGTGCCTTACCTCATATGCATCTTTATATATCACACCATAAGCTTGCGGACTTGCTCTTCCTGCATCAAAAATAGATGCACATATATAACAAGTCCCACCATAATTAAGCTCATAAATATTAAACCCAACAAAAATTCAAAACCAATGGTAGCTAGCTTCTAAACATATATCTACTTTCTTCTCAATTAAAAATGTGATTTTTCTAGAGTAAAAATTCGCTTACCAGGAATATATCTAAACAAGATTTTCTGCACAGTTGCATGCAAATAGACAGTGATCTTTCTTGGGTCTGCATACTGAAGCAAATCTGCAGCAGTGTGTCTATGACCCTCTGCATCAAAAATAGTCCCTCCAACTTTAGTCCCGTACAAATGATCGTAGGTAAACTCATTGTTGGGCAACACTCCCACTTCAAGCAAACCATCTCTCAAGGCATTCTCCCACTGCAGAATCTCTGGTTTGAAGGCCACCACTTTCTCAACCCATTCATAAGACTGGTTGACCAAATTATGGTTCCAACCCACCTCCTTGACGTAACGTGTGCTGGCACGGGTGTAGAACCCGGCGTTCACTGCTGAGCCACCGCCTAGCACGCGTGCCCTGATGTTGTAAACTCCGTCCTCGGAGGTGAACTGCTGGGCTGGGGACGTGGGAGAGGTGTCCAAAAGAGTGGGGCCGAAGTTGGCAATGTTGGTTATGTTTGGATTGCCATAAGGCGAGCCGCCTCGTTCAAGGACTAAAATGGTTGCACCATGAGACAGAGTTGCGGCCAATGGACAACCGGCGGTGCCACCACCAATGATTATGTAGTCATAGTAAACCACTGCCGGAGCTGATGTTGCTTCTTTGACAAATGTGTAGTCTGGAGCTGCATGAATGAATCAAACTGGTGATAATTAATTAACAGTCTCTAATTAAACATTTGATCTGCACAACACAAATATGATCCTGTTTACCTTTATCTGAATAAGAAATGGGAAGAAAGAAGAGAAACCCAGAAAGAAAAGCTCCAAAGAATGTGATCATGCATGATCCCAAACCCATTGTGTGTGTTTCCAATTTAACCACCTTCCCCAAAGACAATAAAATTTATTTTTGCAATATATTTGTGATCTGGGGTCTTGTTCGAATTAATTATCCAAGACCACACCAGCTACCCTCCTTTAAATAACCCTAAACCCTAAGGCCTAGTGGCCTAACGTTCTTTGTGCACACAAAAAGACCTAATTAAAGAGGTCATGCATTTATAGTTCAACAACATTAATTTTTTCACCTACTCATGTAAAGATACAACATCCTTCATGAAGTTTGATAATACGAACACAACACACCATTTCCATTCGTGCTCACTAACTTGGGATTAGCTAGCTAATCGTATTCTATACATCTTGATGAAGCCTTATTCAACAGTTAAATTTTTGGTACCGGCCCAGTGCCTATTTTTGCATGCCTTGACATTCAAAGGTTTATTGCTAGCTACTAGTGGCAGTGGCAGATACTTTTTTTTCAAGTTGCTCAACTGCCCATACAAGTATTGGTTGAATCCAATTAATTCAAAGAAACATAAATGGAGGTCTTTTTGCATGCTCAATTGCCTGGCTTGCCTTGATTCCAATGGAGGTCTTTCTACTTCCGGGAAAAACAGAAGAGAAGCCTTCCTTTTCCAGCTCAATTGCGTGCTCGATTGCCCGGCTCGAAAACTTTGTTGGATAATTGAATGATTTGAGAATTAATCAACATTATGACACTCAACAGTAACATATAGGCACATTCATTACATGACTTGACGACACAAATCAAAATGATCCAATAACATTGATATTCAAAATTCATGATTAGGTTGCTTATGATTTAGTGTCAAATGATACTATTCTTTTGGTTCGGAAGGAAGCATAAGTATTAAGTTAGTTGGCATCTCATCTCACGAATCTAGTTAATATTACTTCTCTCCTTAGGTTAGGTGACATTTGCATCTGGTCGTTGAGTGGAACATCCAAGGCTTTCCTTTCCTATATGAGAGAATTCAACTCTTGTAAGTTGTATCTATCAGTATTAGGTATTAGGACACTGAAGAAAATGGCACATCGGAGAACCCGGACATGTCTTGTTTCAGCGATAAGCGCCTAAGATCTTGAGTTCCCGTTCTCATCTCTCTGCAAAACACATACAATTTAGGAAATTCTTGCAAAGAATCTAGATGGGAATTCTGAATTTCCACAACAATCATACATTTGGTGCAAATACACTAGCGGGTAAACTGCCGAATTGTCCCCTGAATTTGTACATAAATATCAATTTACACCTGGACCCTTTTTTTTTAATGTTACTCTTGTCGTCTAAATCATCAATATTTCATCTAATTTGCAATTAAATATGAGGGCAAATGGATCATTTCACATGTTAAAAAATAATTAAATATTTTAAAATAAAATAAAATGACATAAAAAAAATTATAAACAAAGTAGTGGGACCCACCCACCCTGCCCCCTTCACCTCCGCCTCTCCCCTTCTGCCCTCTCTCTTTCTCTACGATCCAACACCCAAAATCCCCAACTGGGTTTCACAAGTTAAGATTATTAGTGCGCACCCAATTCTTAATAATTGTTACTTCTTTGCCGATTTGATTGGAGGACCCAGAAGCCTTTGTTTGTTTGGAGGGTACCAATGTGGATCTATGTTGGGCAAAATCTATTGGCTTAAAATGGAGCACATGCCCAAATGACAGGGGCACCAGTCCTTAACCAAACCCATCTCTTTTTACCTTCCAAAACTCCACTAGGATGCCCAGAAACGAGTTCAAGGTCGAAGAAGCAAGAAAGCTTGTCACTGTTGAGGAGATGCGGGGTGTGGGTTTTTGCTAAAGTTTTCTCCTTTCTTGGATAGAGCCTAACGGTATGTGAAAGGGTTTGGAAGTCATAGCAGAACTTGGCTGCTATTCGAAGATCTCGGAGCCGCCATGGAAGTCTGATCCTGCTCTTCAATTTGTTGGTGGGGCTGTGATGGGTTCGTCTCTTTTTCTTTGATTACATTGTGAAGCTTCCGAATTTTTGACATGAGAGGAAACTGAGGGCAGTTGAGCACCGAAAATCAAAGGCAATCGAACTGATCCTTCAGAGATTCGCAGCGATGGTGGGGACGGGGATGAGCTTGGGTTTTGAAAGCGGAGGCGGCGACGGCTGTGTGGAGTGGAGGGGCTCTTTTTCTTTAATTTTTTTTTCCAAAAAAAAAGAAAAAGAAATATATTTTTAATGAGGTAACAGAAAATTTAATGAAATATCGAGAAATTATATGTCAAAGGGGAAATTGAGAATAATATATAGTTAGTGTCCTTAATTTTGTTAAAAAAAAAAGGTTGGAGGTTAAATTGATAATTATGTACAAGTTCATGAGGCACTTCGATAGTTTACACATAAACTATTAGATAGGGAATAGAAAGCAAAATCTTCAAAACAAAAATAAAAAAGGAATATTGGGTGGGAATCACAAACAACAATTCCAACACTGTTTAAAACTCGCACAAACTATTTTAGTTGTTCTCAAATGATTCATAACTCCAATTAACAAGCACAAAATGACATACATGAATCACAAACAACGATTGCGAAAAACATTCCGCCGCACGCCTAGTCGCCGCCAAGCTTGATTTTTCCAACACTGTTTAAAACTTCCACAAACTATTTCAATTGTTCTCATAGTTCGAGTATGAAATTACCAAAATGGCATCGATGTCATTCTCAGGTGAGAGCTTCTAGTCTCTCTACGAGCTCTCTTTTTCTTAGCTTTCACTACTTTCTCTTTGCCTTTTTATGGCTTATTCGTCTTCTTCCCCATGTTTGGAAACACAACCAAGGAAGCTCAAGGCAGACTCGATGCGAGGAAGAAGAGAGAGCTATCTGGACGATGCTAATAATGACTGTGTTGTTTTCAGTGCGACGTAGTTTATTTGAGGTAGTAAATCCGTTGACAGTTGGTCCACGCACGCACGTTGTTGTTTTTTAAAACTGAAGCCGGACATAAGGCCCAACATTTAAAATATGTAGGACAGGATTTATCCGGCCCAAAATAGATACGGGTTTGACCCATGTCCAAGTTTGTGGTGTATGCCTTGTTTATTTGACTAATGGGCCATACCAATTTTTCCTCTCTGTTTTTTTTTCGGAGGGGCTGCGGCAGCGGGGTCAATGGTCAATTTATCCTTCTATGGTAGTATAATTTTGTTGATTATATATGAAACATTTTCCCGGTACAAAAAGATTCCGAAATGAAAAAATTATTGTGTGACTGCTTTACTAATATGTGGTGTGTCGAAATAATCTTATCAAAGGCTAAAGATAGAGGGAAAGCCCAATCGATGGCAAAGCTCGTCTAGAAGCACATCAAAGTTAGCTAATCGGTGGAGTGACGGTGCGATAACGCCTGTGGCATGAGGTGCTAGGTTTGGTTTCATTTTTTTGTTTTGTTAATTTTATTGTAAGGGTATAATTGGACTTTCAGCGTGTTAAACCAAAACAAAACTTATGGTAATAGCTTCTAGTTTTCCCATCATATAATGGAAGAAGAGATTGTACTGCATAGTACGCTTGACTTGTTCCATTGAAACTTTTCTCATCATGCTTTTCTTGTAATGTGACACTTTCCTTTAAACAATGAACATTTTCTCTTTTTTCTCTTTCTCCCCGTCACGTTTCTCTCATTCCTTTTTTTTTTCTAGTCATCCTCTTCATGATTCTCTTTTCTTTCTTGGATGCGTCTCTCTTGTAGAATTTGGGTTTGTTATGATAAATTGAATTTATGGCTTGTCGAATTAGGATTTCTTAATTGAATTGGGGCTTGTGAAATAAGAGCTTTAAATTGTGAATTAGGTTCCTCAATGTTGGAGAAATTATCTGATATGTTCTTTTAAGGCCAAAAAGAATGGTTTATTTATTTATTTTGGTTAGAATGGTTTATTGGGGTTCAAATGAATGTGTGCTATTTTTTAAAGCCCAAAAGTGATTTTCCTTGTCATAATGGTTTTATTGTTTAGTGTATTTACAGATAGGGCTCGTCAATGGGCCGGGCCGGGCTAGCCCGGCCCAAAT